CTCTCTCTCTCTCCCCTAAGCGATTTTGGTGATCATGGAGAAGATGGTTGCTAGGATTTATTTTGATGCTTGCCCTTGCTTGGATCTCTTTCATTTTGGTGTTGTAAGCATTGATTTTCGCTTTTTATTGGCTGCTCTCAAGAAAGTAGGCGTCTTCTAGGGTTTCTTGTTCTTCAAGCCTTGTTCTCTTCCATAACGGATTCGGCTAGGGTTTTTTTATTTTTGATGTTCTAGGCTTGGTTGAGACTCTTGGCTGCTGTTTTGTTTATGATTAGTCTTTGGCTGCTGTTTTGAACGTGTTTTCAGTTCTGGTCGTGATTTCCAGATCTGGTGACGACTTTTAGGGTTTGTGGGCTAGGGTTCATCATTATATGCTCCTCGGCTGTCGATATGGATATTTCATTTTGCTGATATCTCTCCTTTAGTTTGTCTGGGTTCAAGGAGTGTGAAGTTGTGTTTTTGGGAGAAACGATCACGGTATGGTTGCGTTTTGGTTTCTTCTTCTTCGTTGGCTGCATCAAGGGTTCTTGCTCTAGGGTTTCTGCCTTGAGATGTTGTTTTTCTTGTTTTTTTAAATTTTCTGCATGATCGATCTTGCTATTGCTTTGTTCTCTTTTTGTTGCTTTCTTTCGCCTATGCTGTTTGCATTTGCTTCTAGTGGCGTTCCTTGTTGTTTTATCTGTTGTTTCTCTCCCAAAGCCATAGTTTTTGGTGTGTTTCCGAAAACTTGATCACTTAGCTAGGTTTCAGCTTTTTAGCTTCACCAAGTGATTATCGAAAAGGGCGAGATGAGTTTGGACAATCGTATCATGGAGGCCTTGAACTTAGTCCCAAAGGCCCCTAACGTGGTTCCTGCTTTTGAAACAAAAGTGGGGGAAGGTGATGCCCCTATGCCTTCGATTGCCTTGCATGGGGAACAACCTGGAGTTTTGGTTTTCTCTAGGATTTTGGGCTTGGAAGGACAAATTTCTTTGCAAAAGAAACTTATGGATTATGCTTCGACTGTCTTAGGTAAGTCACAATCATCCAGAGGTAACCTTAAGTTTTTCCCTTTGAATGATAAGATGGACTTTCGTGTTTCCATTCTGGTGGAATTAGCCAAAACGGCTATGAAATCTTATCATGCTAATCTCTACGACTACTTTCTTGGGAAGAGAATTCACTTCCCTACCATGCAGAAGTTTGTAATGGCTGCATAGGGTAAATTTGGTTTCAAAGATGCTATGATGAACGAGAAAGGTTTCTTCTTTTTCAGATTTAATGATATGGGAAGGTGTAACCAGGTTGTTGAATCAGGACCTCTAATGATTAACAGGGTTCCTTTTTTTGTCTACCATTGGGATCCTTTGCAGGGCCTTATCATTCCGGAGCATACGACATGCCTTCTTTGGGTCAAGCTTCATAATATCCTGTTGGTAGATTTTAATAAAGAAGGCATTAGTAGATTAGCTAGTGCTCTTGGGGTTCTAAAAAGAATGGATGCTTGCACTACAACTACGTGTGAAAAGGCTTGGGCTCGTCCAGGCTTTGCTAAAGTGATTATGGAGGTTTGGGTTATAGGGGATCTGAAACATGAGCTTGAGATGACAATTCCAAACCTCCAGGGCGATGATGATATGGTGGTCAAGGTGGGTTTAGAATATTTGTGGGAGCCAGTTCAATGCACACACTGCATGGTTTTAAGGTACAAATGTTATTCATGTGCTAAAGCTTGTCTTAGTGATTCTATGGTTAAAAAGGATGGTAAAAAAACTGTCAATGTCAATGAAGATGGATTTACAGTAGTGGAACGGAAAATAAGGCTAACCCTAACAATGGTAGTCTAGCTCATGATGAGAAGAGGAACCCACCAAAATTCAAAGATAGACAAAAATCCACTTCCAAAACCGTCACTTCATCTAGCACTCATAAAGATGATAACGAAAAAGGAGAACATAGAAACTGTAAAAAATGGATGATATGAGGGTTGATCACCCCATTTCTAATCCCGCTCCCAAAGAACCTCCAACCCTTGAACCTCCAACCCTTGAACCTCTTCTCTCTTCGGAGGTAAAATTGTTTCGTTTGATAAATAAAATGCGTAGGGGAGTGCTGGTTAATCCCCCTACCACTCCAACAAATTTGCTCCGCTCTCGGATGATGAAAGTAATGATGATGTTGATGAAGGTCGTGCGATGGAGGATTGTATTGAAGACAACTCTTGTGATCTTGTTCCAGAATCCCAACCCCCTAGGGATGTTGACAAGCCGCATACGGCTATGGATGGTGGTAAGAAGGCGTCTAGTTATTCCAATGAATAATATTGCAATGTGGAACATTTGGGGTCTTAATTCCCTGACAAAACAAAGGGACATTAAGAATTTTATTCGTGTTCATGATATTTCATTTTGTTCTATTGTGGAATCTTATCTTTTATAAATGTCATAAATGATATTTGTGGTGATGTGTTTGGGAGTTGGGCATGGATTTCCAACCATGTGTTTTCGGAGAATGGAACTTGTATTATTGTTGCATGGGATCTGAATTGTATGAATGTTATGGCTGTAGAATCAAATTGGCAATTCTTGCATTGTGATGTTCGTGTTAAAGGTTTGTCTTCCAACTTCTTTATTACCATTGTATATGGAGCCAATCAAGGTGTGTTAAGAAAGGATCTTTGAACGGGGCTTTGTAAGCTCAAAGTTTGTACGAGAAATAAATCGTGGGTGCTTATGGGGGGTTGTAATGCGATGTTATTCCCCCATGATGGGTATGGGGGTTCTACCCGTCGATCTCATGATATGCATGATTTTCTCTCTTGTATGGAGGATGTTGATGTGTATGATATCAATTATACATAAATTCATTATACTTGGTGCCAAAGACCCAATAGTGAAGAGGGTCTTTTACGCAAGTTAGACTGTGTCCTTGCTAATACAGAATTTACGGATACGTTTAGAAATGCAAAGGTTCAGTTCATGACAAGGGGGATATTTGATCATGCTTTGGCTGTTTTGTTCATGGATGGAAATGATACCAAGATCCCTTGGAGTTCCAAATTTGATAATTACATATATGATCACCCTTCTTTCTTGCAGGTGGTGAATGAGGTTTGGAATTGCCCGATTATTGGTAATTTCATGTTTAAGGTTACTAAACGTCTCAAGATTCTAAAGAAACCTCTAAGACAACTTTGTGGAGCCTATAAAAATATCTAAAAGAGAGTGAAACTCTTCGAAAGGAGCTATGTTCGGTGCAATTTGCTTTTGATGAAAACTCTTCCAATAGTGTCCTAAAAGAACATTTGGTGCATGTGTTGTTGGCTTTTCAACAAGCCTTAGCTGATGAAGAATGCTACTTTCGTCAGTGTACAAAGGCGAGATGGCTTAATGAGGGGGACTCCAACACAAAATTCTTTCATAAAGTGGTCAAGGAGAAAGCTCATCGACATAAGATTGATTCGGTTGTGGATTTGCAAGGAAGGTTTGTTCAAGGTGAGGAGGTTCATTCGGTCTTTCTTAACCATTTCCAATCGATCCTTGGTTATAGGGATATGGATGTTAATCCCTCTATTCCTTCTGACTGGTTTGCTAATAAATTAACAATTGAGGAATCTCTCCACATGATACGCCCTATTTTAGATGAAGCAATTCGTAGGGCCATGTTTGATATTGGCAATGATAGAGCGCCAGGCTCAAATGGAATCACGGCGAAAATTTTCAAATCAGCATGGAACATTGTTGGGAGAGATATTTTTACTGCTATACATAACTTCTTCCATCGTGGGAAACTAGCTCGTGATCTTAATCACACTTTATTGTGTTTGATCCATAAAGTTTCTAATGCTTCTAAAGTCCCTGATTATAGACCTATTGTTTGTTGTTCAGTCTTATATAAGCGCATAAGCAAAATTATTGTTGATCGTATGAAGGAGTTTCTTGGAAAGTTTGTTAGTTCTACTCAATCTGCTTTCATCCCTGGGAGGCGTATTTTAGATAACATCTTGATGGCCCATGAACTTGTTTAAGGGGTATCAGGGCCATTCTGGGACCCCTCGTTGTTCGTTCAAAATTGATATTCATAAAGCATATGATACGGTAGATTGGTTTTTTCTTAAGAACATGCTCTCTGGCTTTGGTTTTCACCTGGTTATGGTGTGCTGGATTGAAGAGTTAGTGCAAACCACCTATTATTCTATTTCTTTGAATGGTGCTTCTTCTGGTTTTTCCAAGGAGGTCGGGGTATAAGGCAAGGAGACCCTATATCTCCTTATCTTTTCACAATAATTATGGAAGGGTTTACTTGGATTTTACAACAATACATATGGGAAGATCCTTCTTTTGGCTTCCATAAAGGGTGTAGAGCTCTGAATCTGACTCATCTCTGTTTTGCTGATGACTTGTTTGTGTTACTAGAGGTGATGTGGCTTTTATGGATGTCTTGAAATGTGCATTCCAGGAATTAAAGAAGAGATCGGGCCTTGCCCTGAGTTTAGCTAAAAGTGAAGTCTTTTTTGGCAATGTCTTGGAGGATGCCAAATCTGCCATTTTGGAGTGTCTTCTGTTTTGAGAAGGTAAGTTTCTTTTTTGTTATCTTGGTGTTCCCCTATCTCCCTTGAAGTTGAAGGTGGTGGATTTTGAAAGCCTTGTTACGAAGGTTAAATTATTTACACAAAATTGGAAGGATAAATTCCTTTCTTATGGTGGTCAATGCCAACTCATTCAAAAAGTATTGGGCTCTCTCCAACTTTATAGGATGTCGGTGTTCCTTATTCCTTTGTATGTTATTCATGAAATTGAAGGTCTTTTCGGGACTTCCTATGGGTTCAAGGGGAAAATGATAGGGCCGCTGTCAAATAGCTTGGAATAAGGTCTGTATATGCAAGGTGTGTGGGGGTATTGGTATTAATAGATTAGCTGTTTGGAATCTTGCATTACTAACTTCATAATTTGGGACCTACTATAGAGAAGAGATTTGGTTTAGGTCAAATGGATATATGAAAATCATTTTTCTGGCTAATTATGAAAAATCCAAAGTCTTTTTGTGTTTGGCGCAAGATTCTGGATATCAGGGAGTCCATTTGGCCACATTTCTTTGTTCAGATTGGTGATGAAAGTATTACTAATGCTTGGGAGGATAACTGGCTCCCTATTGGCCCTCTTTCACATAGGCTTTCTTACAGGAGTATTCATAGGATTGGTTTCAATGCAAACTCTTATGTAATGGGGGTTGTTAACAATTTGGATGGTTGTTGGCCACCTGATTGGAATAGTAGTGTTCCAAACCTTTCAACTTTCAATATTCCTCAAATCCAGTCCGATGCCTGTGATAAAGTTTTATGGTTGAATTCTTCTAATGATTTGGTTTTGTTTGTGGTTCGAGAGATTTGGGGCTCCTTGGATGGTGTTCATGCAACGGTTGATTGGCATAAACATGTGTGGTTTAAGGGATGCATCCCTAAACATTCTTTTTGCATGTGGCTTGTTGTCATCTTTGGATTTCCATTCAGGACCGTATGAGGGCTTGGAAGCATGACCTGCCGGATTTGATTTATCCTCTATGTCAAAATTGCATGGATTTTCATAATCATTTGTTCTTTGAGTGTGATTTTTCCAAGGAAATTTGGACTATCGTAAAATAGGAAGCTGGGATGATGGCTGATGACACTTGGAACAATATTCTTCATGATATCTCGAGTGGGAGGAGTAAAATTCGGTCTCATATACATAAGCTCTCCCTTGCGGCTTCTATTTATCATGTTTGGATAGAGCACAATGGAAGACTCTTTCAGAATCAAAGGAGGAATTCAGTTCAGATTGCTAAATAAATTCGTGATGTGGTTCTGACACGCCTAGCTTGGAGGTTTCGTGGAAGAAGAGTTGTGACTATTATTAGTGATGGGAAGTCCTAGTTTTGGGAATTGGTTTGCTTCGCTTGGTAGTTGGTATTTTATGAGGTTCCTTTTGTTTGGGAATCTCTTTTGTATGCGTTTTGCTTTTATTTCCTTGTGTTTGTTTTGGCTTATTTTTGTTTGGTATGGGGAGGTCACCTGTTTTTAATGTTTCTGGTGGCTTTGCCTTTTATCTTGTAAGCTTGTTTCTTGGTTTTAATGAATTTTCCAGGAGTGCTATCTCCTTTCCAAGAAAAAATCAACATAAGCAAATAAACACATATGAACAACAAAAAATCCACCTTTACTTAAAATTTTGTTCCTCTAAGATAACATAATACAATGTAAAACCGATTAAACTTAGGAGGGAAAAAAGGAATTCTAAAAAGTTAAATTATTAATGAAAAATATAAAAAATAATATATTAAATCGGTACTATGACAATAGCACACTTTCAAACCGAATAACAACCAAGTTTTTGTACTTAGTACCATACTACCAATCAACTGCAATTGATTCCAATTTAATTAGTATGGTAGATGCACATCTTGGTTTGTTTTGGTACAAAATTGTCATACTAATAAAAGTTGCATGTGTTCGTACAATAAATATGGATATTTATATATAAAGAAATAAAGAACTTAATATATTACATATGTAGATATGTCTGATACATATCAATTTTTGTGTATGTACAACGAACTCCATTGGATTTTACCAAAGTGCGTGTGAAAATGTTTCATCATCATATTTGAATATTGTGACGTATTTTGGAACTTATTGATCCCCATGGCCATAGTAAACATCGAAGAAATGAATCCACAAGATCTAAAAGGAAGTTCTAGAACCAAGAAGGGCACAGTGCATCCTTCCACGTGATAGCATGTATGTGATGATCTCAGAACAATTGCTACAACATCTTCCATTTCCGTTCATCAACGGATGATGAATTTAAACCCCACACCTCTCCCTTGCTCCTCTTGACTCTTCCTTCCATCGGTGGATGTTCCTCCACCAACTTAAGCGGTAACACTATTGCAGCAAGAATCTCGTCGGAGGAGTTAATGGTTATGGAGAAACTTCTAGGATCGTCATCATCAAGTGGGGGAAGGAAAAATCTTATGTTCTAAAGTTCTAGAAAATGGGGAAAAGAAAAATAATGTTGAATTTTCCTTCAAAAACTTTCCTACCAAAGGTAAGAAAAAGAGAAAAGAAATAATAATAATTGCAATTTCTTTTTATAAAATGTCACACCCCGCTAAAGCGGAAACACGAGATGTAACAGCTAAGCATTTCATAGCATTAAGTAATAGATAACACCATTAAAATTTACAAGTTTAAAAATTTACAATCCATAACCAAACTGCTCTTGTCGGAGACAGTATAATATTTTACAAAACTTACGTTCTAAAAATAGAAAGCCGGTGTCATCACAAAAGTGCATCCAAGACTTCAATACTTACTTAATTTCCTGAAAAGCATGAAACATAAAATGATGTCAACTACAAAGAGTTGGTAAGTTCACGCGTTTTTATATGCACAAAATACTTTACCATGCAGAAATTCATTCTTGCAAACTATTTACGTAAATTTGCACAAGGTAAAATGAAAATTTTAACGTTGCTTAAACTCGAGCCGCTACAGATCCTTTTCTACCAATACGCCCCTTACATTTTACAAACTACCATGAAGTGGCCCGCTTGCTCACTTAGGTACCACAGTTCATCTATAGAACTACCTCAGCGGTGGCCCGTTCGCACACATGAGTAGAACTATTAAACTAGTAATGTGCACCAGGCCTCGGTGGGACTATCAAATCACAATAGCGCTATTCACAATTACTAACGGCCCAGCTCTTTCCCAAGTTAACTAGTAGCGTACGCGGTGTGGACTTTTTACATTTAAACTCAAGTACATCAATTTATCATTAATACCATAGTGCAATAATAGTCAATTTTAATAACTTCAACAGTTTTCAACTAAACAGTTCAGTTTGCAAATTTTCATGCTTTTCCCCCAGATTTTCAACAATCAAAGCAGTAAAAAGGGGTCGTGATTACTCACCGGTTTGCTAACGATAATCCGATAGTTGTTGGCGTAGTTGCTTTAGACGTTCGGCCTAACCTTTCCTAAGAAATCCGAAGTAGGCAATTAGTTCACTTTTCGGGTCTAGATATAGATAAAGTTTAATTTTTATCTTATGTAATGCCATTGAGTTTTCATGATTTAAAGTTGATATATATAAGTATTGTCCTTTAAATTGTCCATTATTTTATGTATTTTAAGGTTAAAGTCCTTTTTACATAAAATTACAAATGGGAAGAAAGTTAATTTTGATTTTCTGAAATTTTGGTCTCACAAATCATCATCAAAAGGTGCCTTCCATAATTATTTTCTTGTCCAAATTTTTTTACCACTTATGTTACTGAGTTAAGCATAATTTTTCCAAATTTCATAAATTTTGGAGGTGTTTAAGTCATTCAATTGTCCTTCATATTTTAAGTCTCAAAATCCTTTGGACAGTTTGCACACTTTCAAAGTTGTAGTCAGTTGGAAGGTCAAAACTCAATTTTTTTCAATGATTTCACTTTTATTGCAAAGTTACTTGATATAACAAACTTCCAGAAGAAGAATTTCTCTTTTTCATTAAGTTTTGAGAGAGTTATGTTATTTTGAACATGTATGCAAGGTTCTGTTTGAAATTATCTTTTTGCACCATAAATTTGTTTCAAGAATTTAAGGGATCAAAGCTCAATATTTTTGAGTGAAACCAGAGGCATATGAACAAAAACTCACTAAAATAAACTTCAGAAGAAAAATAAAACATTTTGGAGAAGTTATCAAAGAGTTATGAGTGTTCAAAGTAGGATTTACCTACTGTTGAACCTACTGTTTGCACACTTAACTTGTTCTAAGTGTTTGAGAGGTCAAAACTCCATATTTTTACAAGATTCCAGTTGGAATAGAAACCCAACTCAAAGAAATAAACTTAAAAGAAAGGAATCATAACATTTGGACTATTATTTTGGGAGATATGGACGACAAAAGTGCTAGTAAGCAATCTGTCAGTACCAAAATACCACTTTTGAGGGTTAAAATCCACATGCAATGTGGTTTTACCCTACTTTCTTGAGTTATAAGACTATAGGTCATGGATTATGACCATTTTGAAGACATATTTCATGTGTTTGGTGTATAATCTCCCATCTAGAACCTCCAGAAAGTTGAGGCCAAATGAAGAACAAAGAGTGTAGAAAATGATGAGAAAAGGTAAGCTAAAGTGCTAAAGTATTGAAAATAACTCTTTACCTTGCTTGCTAACACTTGTCCTCTTCAATGTTCTTCAAGAACAAATGAAACCAAGGATGTTTTTACACCAAATTTGGCTGAACTGGTTTTGGGGAGAAAAAGAGGTACTTAGAGAGGATTCTAGGTGATTTTGCATTCAAAATGAGCTAAAAGTGAGAGGTAATCAAAGAGTCATTTAGTTTTATATGTGGGCTATGTGTGAGACATCATGTGGCCGGCCATAAGCCCAAATCCACACATTTTAATAATTTTTTTAAACAAAGCCCATTAAAATGTTAGATAAATATAAAATGTTAAAATTGTGATAAAAAAATCAGTATTAGGTCAAATTTTCTAATTTTTGCAAAGTTGTTTGAACTTTTAGATTGGACTTTTATATTTTAAATTTGGACTTTATATCATCAACTTTTATCATGATTGGAAAAATTTTAGTGTATTTGGCATTACATAAGTTAACTTTATCCGTTACCTGCTAAAACAGGATTTTCTGGGCTAAATGTCGGGAATCTAAGCCAGTTGAGCTCTAATCAACTTGACTAAGCCCTAGTAAAATATATTTCTAATTTTAGAAACCCTAGATAGCTGCTAACCTGAAACTCCAGAATTGACGGATGTCACATAAAATCACATAACTACCAATCAATTACAACCCACTGTAAAGTAAATATAGGTAATAAAAATGATATCTTTCATTTCTTTTGTCCAGTTTAAAAAATGAAAATTTATTTTTCTTCTAAAAAATAGAAATATTTTTTTTATTTACATCCCTTTCTTTTCTTCCCAAATTCGAGAACACAACATTACTTATTGATCTGTCGTGACTGTTGTAAACATCAAAGATATTAATCCTTGAGATCTCAAAGAAAGTTCTAGAACCAGGAGTGGTGCATCCTACCAGGTGAGTGATCACAGGTGCATGATGAATAATGGAACAACTGCTACAACATTTTCTATTTTCCTCCAACAACCGATGACAAATTTAAACCCCCACGTCGCTCCCTTGCTCATCCCAGATTCCACCTCCCATTGGTGGACGTTTCTCCACAAACTTAAGTGGTACCATATCGACGTGATAACCAAATCTTAGTTATCACCTGAGGTAAATATTATGTGATTATTTGTTATGTGTTTGCCTGACAGCATGATAAATTATTATATTTAATCATGCTAGTATGTGAAATTATATGCATATTGAGTATGCATTAAGTATGTGGATATAATTTTATACATGATAAAATACATGCATAAGGTGTGTATATGTATATGTGAAGTGGCATGTGTGTATATGGGTATGAATGCATGTCATGTATATGCATGAAG